GAAATTCAGAAATGTTCAAAATCGGAAAATTCCGAAGTTTAGAAAATTCCGAAATGTTAAAAACCGGAAAATTCCGAATTTTCGAAATTTTGAAAATCGGAATTTCCGACATTCCGAACATCCCTGCATTGGAGCGCAAATGCCAAAATGAATTTTTGAAATTTCGCAGACTACAAAACGAGATTATGGATCATCCAGATACTGATATCGTGCTACCACTACACCGTCTCGGCCGGGAACGTATCATTGAAAATCTGTCTTCGAAAATATTTGAACCGGTTTTTGTGTATCCGGAAAAATTGGCTATCGGCAAAGCGTTGGGATTCTTTTACGAGTATGGGATTCCGAATCAAAAACGAAAGATCCAGGTGGTGAAAAGAAACGGGTGGAAGTAAGTGCGCTCTAGCTCTAGCGTCTAATCAGAAGAAATTATCAACGGAGCGAATTTAGGATGCCGGATGCCACAGAAAAGCCAATAATTGTCGTCGAGGTCACACAAGTCGAACATTTATATGGAGCAACTTCTGAATCGTAGGTGACCGGATTGTGAATAAAATTGATTATTGATTTTTTGCTTTCAGCAATTCTAACATCAAAATCCCATACTCCGATCACTCGTCGCGCGAAGAGATTCTGAAATTTTTGAAATATTTCAAATTCAAAGAAATCTACCCAACCTCCAAATCATACTCAAAAGCGGAATTCAAGACTATGATGCAAGCTGGAAAAACGTTTACCGAGGAAAATTTGGAAAAGTGAGAAACTTGGAAAAGTAAGAAAAAAGTTCAAAAATTCTGGACATTTTCAGGCAACTTGAACTCCACACGTTCTTAGAAAAGTGTCCCGAAAAGTCTCCGATTGCTGAGCCAAGGATTCCAGGACGCGTTTATCGATCCGATTTTGCGGAAAGCCAGTGTCCGTTTCCACGTGGCGTTGTGTGGCAAGACGAGCATGAAGAGTGTATGACTGGAGACCTGGATGAGTGGGAGGAAGGACCACCGCAGACGATTCACGAGGCTATTGCTAGGAGTAGAAAGCTGATAAGACCCCGGACCACTACAACTTGAAACTTGAATAAAATTTGCATTTTTCATAAATAAAAGTCGGACAAAACTGCACATGATAGCAATAAAAAGCGATGAATCGCAATAACAAATGACACATGATAGCAATAGATCAGAGAAAAATCAATTAGAAAGTTTCGCCTTCAACGCCTCCTCCTGAAGACGTGATGTCTGGTACTCTCTTCGCACTTTGTTCACTTGATGGAGAAGGCTGACACGAAGCACGTTGCGCTCTTTGTAGGTTACTCCGTGTGTTGGCTCGAGTGCTGGAATCATCTCGGCGATTTTGGCCTTCTGCTCAGCGATCGCGACTTGTAGTTGCTTTTCTGGAAATTTTGAGGTTAAAAACATACTTGTAACGGGCCGGGCCGNNNCNNNNTTTTCCCNAATTTTGNAANCCCCGNCCGGNCCGNCNNNCCTGTCNTTCCNNCTNTTTTTATCCTTTCCCAAAACACCTAATGGGGGACCCTTATGTGATTTTTTTTCCAGCTTTGTTGATATCTTTTGACCAACCAGACCCACGATCCACAACACATACAATAATGGAGAAAATTGTATTGATTCGGCTCAAAATGACACCATTTTTGCTACCGGGCCTTCCAGGGCCGGGCCCGGGCCTTAAAATTTCATCAGGCCGGGCCCGGGCTTTGGCGGGCCGGCCCCGAATTTTACAAGTATGGTTAAAATATTAGATTTTAGATGCTCTTACTCTCGATTTTCAACTCGTCTACGTTGTTTGTGAGCACCGACTCGTAGGACAGTTTATTGAACGCGTCGATCAGCGATTCGAAATTATCGCCGCACTCCTTGTCAGCCAAATCCGCCTCGTTTCTGTCCAACTCGTTCATTAGCTCTTCGTGAGCCGCATCTTGCTCTTTCTCCAACTCCTTTCTCTGTGCAATCAACTTCTCGTTGATTTCTGTCAGCTCACGGAGCTCCTGTTCCAATTCTGCGCGCTGCGCCGCGAATTTCGCTCTATCCTTGGCGACGCGTTCCTTGAACGCTTTCTCCGCTTTCAACTGTTGTGCCGCCATCTGTTTCATCGCTTTTTCTTGGGCAACTGAAAAAAAACTAGGAAATTTAAATTTTTGGAGCAAAAAAGAGGAAAAATACCTCGATCCTTTGCCAAGTCTTGTGTGAACTCGGCTAGCTGTCGGCAGAAAGTTTCGAACCGTTCGGCGTCTTTTGGATTATTCACAAATTTTTCCATTTTTTGTATTGTAAATGGACAGTAAATACTCGCAGAATCCAAAAAAAAACGAAAAAACAAAACAGTTTTTAAAGGAGCATACAGAACTACTATTCGGTGGGTCTCGACACGAATTGACGTTTGGCATGATTAATTTTTTAATAACATTTTTTCAAGACTGCTTGAAATCAGATATATAATGTGATTGCTTCGAAGTATTCATCTTTTCAGAAATTTTCGTCAAATTCGTTTTAATTTTTCCAAAATTCACTTTCGTGTCGGAACTTAAACAACAATTTTACTGTGTGCGCCTTCAATGTCGATTTACGAGTAATACTTGATTTTTGCTGCAGACTTGTTAAAGGTGGTGTACGGTGAAATTTTTTATTGCATCAAAATGTGCAGAAATGCATGTAGATTGACATAAAAATAAAGAAAAAATTCAGAAAAATTCCTTCGGCGAGAAAAACGCATCGAAAAATACGCTGAAAGCCCTTAGGGACGAGGTTTTTTCTAGGCCGCCCGGTTTTTCTAGGCCGCCCAGCGCGTGAATTCAAACTTTCAAGAGTTTTCTAGGTTTTTGTCTTTTTGGTTTTTGAATTTTTCTTCCAGATACATCGGAAAATTTGAAAAAACAGTGAAAACGAGCGAAAAAGTTGTAAAAATTTGAATTTGCGCGCTTTCACTCACCGGGCGGCCTAGAAAAAAGCTCGTCCCTAAGGGCTTTCAGCGTATTTTTCGATGCGTTTTTCTCGCCGAAGGAATTTTTTTTGATTTTTTTCTTTATTTATATGTCAACCTACATGCATTTCTGCACATTTTGATGCAATAAAAAATTTCACCGTACACCACCTTTAAAGATAAAATTAACAGGTTTTATATCGCAAAAAAAAACATTTAAAAAAACAAAAAAAAAAAGATTTATGTCTCCTCCAGTGTGTCCAAGCGATCCATTCTTCGTCCATGATGGCGGGGGAACAATTGCTCACGTTCTTCGGAAATGCTTCGGCTGAAACTCTTGCATTTCTTTTCAAAAAAAATCCTACAAAAACCACCTCGACGTGCGTCTCTGCTTTGGTGTCCTTGTAGGCGTTGTCGAGCTGGACCGTCTTGTCTTTTTCGGTGTCTCATTTCCATTATTATGTCGATTCCCATTCTTGTGACCTCCACTTTTCTTGTCCCTCTTTTTCTCTCGTTTCTTCTCCTTTTTACTCTGCTTTTCATGACCCTTATGATGATGACTTTTATGGTAGGGAGACGATGGAAAATCATCATCAATGTCTTGATTTCTAGACTTCATCAGGTCCATGTTGTGCTCAATTATGTCCATATCTGGTGGCTTTGGATTTATATAGCGATCGTTAATGATAATTATTGACCTAGAAAAATTGAATTTTTACGTGAAAAATGCGATTAAAAATGGGTCACGTTTTTACGTGGAAAAATGAAACGTGTTCGAAAATTTCAAATTCCCGCCCCTCTCCAAAAACTAACCTATAAGTTTGAAGCAAAATAATTAACATGTTCTTGAAGAAAAAGAATATCATAGTATAAGTGACCAAGTTGTGTACAGTCATCAGATACAAACGTGTCAACAGAAATGGAACATCTTGTAAGGCGTTCGCCAGAAAAATTGCCCAAATATCCACATCGTAGAACGCCTGAAAGTGTCTGTCTCGATTTCCAAACATCCAGATGTCTCTTAAACCTTAAAACAACTTCTAGGCCGTTGTCTCGCGAACAGTTGCTCATAGTCGTTTGTAATTGCCACTCGCATTTTTCGAGCTCTCGAAACAGTCAAGACGAATGGAAATTGCAGGAGACTGAGCTGAAAATCAAGGAAAATCGGTCACGCCCACTTTTCTTCAAACGCCTTACAGTCCATGCAGAAAGCACAATGGTTTGAACTTTGCTATTCGAGTAGACCACTTTCTCCTTGAAGACGTCGAAGAATTCCACAATGTCCGAGGAGATGGCCTGGAATTTAGGGAGACTAGTTTTTATGAATCTAGGCCATCATACCAAATAAGCTAGCAGAATCTGTGAGAGTTGTTCTCTGGAGATATCTCCTTTTGGAAGTAACCATCTTCCAACAATTAAATTCACAAGAAGTAGTTGTTCAAGAAGTTGGAGACGTAGTTCACTATTATCTTTTAGAGCTGAGATAAAAATTAAAAATCTAAAATTTCGAAAAAAAAATCCCCCTCACCAACTGGATGCTGAATAGTCTCAAAACCCTGAACACTCTTCTCCAAACCAGCTCTCCAATTGCAAATCCGAGTCTCCAGAATCCAAATGGGCGGTGCTGTGGCGACGATGTACAGTAGGACGCTGGTGCAAAACCTGGAAGAGGAATTGGTATCTCGCGGTGGCCTAGGAATCCCTACCATTTTCTTTCGTCTCCAGCTCTCATGATGATCGCGTAGCCTCCTTCGAAAACGATGAGAAGAGAAAGCAGTGCGAATCCCCAGACACTTTCCCTGTGAGAAAATTTATTTATTTCTCTTTTTTTTTTGAAACATCTTATTTTTGCACTTGCCTACGCTAAAGTTCAATCATCAGAATGGAATGTTTCAATGTACTTCTCATTAGAGCGAATTTTCAATATCTTGGTTCCCGGGGGAGATGTCAAAGTTTTCTCGACTACTAAGATGTGTGTCATAACATTATCAACATTTCATTAGTTGACAAATTGTTTCTAACTACAGTAGCTTTCAGATATGCAAATTTAAAGTTGGAAAACCGGTGGAGTGTGCTTTAAAGGCGCATATTTCCAAAACTACGGTAGTTAGAAAAATTTTATCAACTAATAAAATGTTTTTCATAATACCGTCAATATGTTACTAGTTAATAAATGTTTTCTAACTACAGTAGTTTTTGAGATATGCACCTTTAAAAGTTAGCCCACCAAGAGGTTGCTAAAAGTGCGGGTTACTTTAACGGCGCATATCTCAAAAACTACGGTAGTTAGAACATAAATTTCAACTAATAAAATTTTTGTCATATTACCATCAATATTTTATTAGTTGATAAATCTTTTCTAGCTACAGTAGTTATATGCGCCTTCAAAGTTAGCGCGCACTTTCCATCGGTGTTCTAACTTTAAACTTGCATACATATCTGATAAGCTACTGTAGCTAGAAAAAATTTATCAACTAATAAAATATTGATGATATTATGATAAAAATTTTATTAGGTGAAAAATCTTTTCTAGCTACCGTAGTTTTTGAGATATGCTCCTTTAAAGTTAACACACCGTGAGGTGGTGCGCACTAACTTTAAAGGCGCATATCTCGAAAACTACTGTAGCTCGAAAAAAATTGTCAACTAATGAAATATTTATGATATTATGGCAAAACTTCCTAATTTAACAAATTCTTAATATCTTTCACAGGAACCGAGATAATTGAGACCGTGCCCTCGATAGACCAACATTTCGTACACAACGCTGTTACCTTGAATTATCTCGTTTTCTATAAAAGCAATAAAAAACAACAACCAATCAGATTTTGGAAATAAAATCATCAATATTTTTTCAGTTAAAAAACTCTTTCTAACTACAGTAGGTTTTGAGATATGCACCTTTAAAGTTAACGCGCACTTTTCACCGCCGTACGGTGCGCCAACTTTAAAGGCGCATATCTCGAAACCTGCTGTAGGTAGAAAAATGTTGTCAACAGATAAAATATTAATTATATTATGGAAAACATTTTATTAGTCAGCAAATTGTTTCTAACTACAGTAGTTTTTGAGGTATGCGCCTTCAAAAGTTAGATCACCAATAGGTTGCTAAAAGTGCGCGCTTCTTTAAAGACACATATCTAAAACACTATTGCATTTAAAAATTTTGTCAACTAATAAAATTTGTAGAATCGAATTTCCCATATTTCCCTAGTTGAAATGTTTTTAATATTTCCTACAACAATAAAAATAAATGAGGTCAAAAACGAACCTCTCACTAATCAACACAGTCTGTCTGATAGTAACAATCGAGTGAACTATAAATATGCCACGTGCCAGAATGGCACGAAGGCAAGAGATGAGGACATGAGAAGCGTCGACACTATTCGGACGTTTCACTTTTGCCTGATGTCGGTTGTTTTTGGTAATTGAGACGATTGAGTCCATGGTTGGGGAGATTCTGAAAATCTGTAATACACAGACAACGGAAGCAGATAGGCATTTGTCAATGAAAGACACAAGAATACCTTGGAACGGAAAATCCGGACCACTTACCAAATTTAACAACCACTAGTCGCCATTCTCATCAGGAAAACAGAAGACAATTGAGAGTGAGAAACTTCGGGAATGGGCGGTCTCTTCTTTTGAAGGAGCATCTCGGAAAACGGTCCCCGGGGTGCATCGATAAGAGATACGTACGCCCTCTTTCTCTCTTTGTTTTCTCCTAGTTTTGAAGAAATATGGACTGACACTTTTTCTTCAAAAAAAAAAAAGAAAAGACACTTGAAACTTTTTTCCCAAGCCAAAAAAACCGTCAAAATTGGGTTGAGGGAGACAAAGAGATGATGATGATGATGATGTGGACGGATTCTTTGTAGTTTAGACGATGATTCTGGGTCCAAAATTTGACGATTTAGTCAAAAAAAAACAGATGGTGTGGGTGGATGGAGTGGACGGAGCTGGGGAGGATAAGAGCAAACTACATAGTTTTGGGAAAATGACGTTTTTTAAAATTTGAAATTCAAAACACAAAGTTTCGATTTGAAGGTTTAGAGAAGCTGAAAATTTGAGATTCCAAAATTCTGGAATTCTGAAATTCTGAAATTCTGAGATTCGTCGTGGATTCGGAATTTCTTCGATTTTTCGAATTTCTTCGATTCTGAGATTCAGAAGGTTTGAAATTTTGATGTTCTGAGATCCCGAGCATTTCATATTCTAAAACTCATTGATTCTGAGATTTTGAAGCTTCGATAAATCCAAAAATTTAACTTTCGGAGGTTTGGAAATTTGAACTTCCGTGATTTCGAGATTCTGAATTTTTGATAAATCACATTTTTAATTTTTTTAGGTTTTCCAGATTCTGAACTCTGAAATTTTGAAATTCTGAAATTCTGAAGTTCCGAGATTCTGAGATTTTCAGATTTAGAAATTCTTAGATTCCGAAATTCTGAAATTCTAAAATTTTAGAATTCTAAAGTTCTGAAGTTCTGGAATTCTGAAACTCTGAAATTCTGAAATTCTTAGAGGAAATTGATCATGACCTAATTTTTTTCTAGGTCACGACCTAATTTTTCTAGGTTATGACCTAGTTTTCCTAGATCATGACCTGCTTCATCCTAGGTCATGCCCTAGTCGATTTACGGTTAAAAGTCGTATAATCGCTTAAATTTTCGAGAAAAAGAAACTTAATTTATCTCTAAACATTGGTTTGTCTATCTGTGTGTCTGTTCATCCCAGAACAAAGTTTTTCCTATAGAAATCCAACAACTTTTCATCACAAATCTACTCCCTTGAAGTGACACTTTTCGTCCCCTGGGAAATCTTTTTTTTTTCGTTTTTACTTTCTGAATTTAGCTTTTCATTTAAAATATGTTTCACTTTGAACAATCCGGACAAACAGACACACAGAAGAGATCATTCTCCTGGATGATTTTCAGCTGTTTTATTTTATTAAACAAGAAACACGTGGCAAAGGGTAACAGATATAAGTATAGGATGAGGTAGTGACAACCCGTTCGCAACTACAGTAACCCTGGACCTTGATAAATTGGGTCAAATGTACAGTAATCCTAATAGGGTGAATTCATGCCCAGTTTGGTGTCGAATTCGAACTTGGTCCTCCGCTGCTCCCTAGTGAATTGTCCGATTCGTCGAATTTTGATGAGCTCATTGATAATCGAAACTATGCAAATCCAAATAGCAAGGATGGATAGGGGAAGTAGGGAGAATAGATTCGAGAGTTGAATGCCTCGTAGCAAGGAGTAGCCGATCTGAAAATGAGCAAAGGATAGGCGAAGGTTGGGCAAGGGTTGTTCTCGACAAGGATTCGTGAACGTTGATAAAATGTTTCGGCAGACTTGGGGCATCTTGCCAGAAACAAAGTCCCACCTGGGTAACCATACAAATCACCACTGCACCATCCCAAAGAAGACATTTGATCGGAAACTCGTACCAGAGAGATGACAGTCCAAACACGAAACTAGACGATAGAAAACAGTAAATTACGGTTAGCTGAAATAAACCATTTCGATAGAGCGCACTTGCCTTCTCTCCTACCTGCAATCCCATAATATGTCTAATGGTCTCTGTTGAAAGACTATCCTGTCTCATGATACTTGTTTCATTGAAATCCATCGAAATCGGTTGAGATCCAGCGGAGCCATCCGTGTTGAAAATGCAAGAAATATCAGAAAATGAACACATCAGGTTGGAATTCGTCATTAGGAGGAAGAGAAAGAGTAGGTTGATGTAGATGGCCGATGGAATGAATTGACAAATGAATTGGGTCACAGCTTTTCGTTTTTCGGCGCGTGGAATTTCAGATGAGTTCTGGAATTCTTACAGTGTACTGGACAAAACTAGAGCTTCATTTTTGCAGTTGACAACTTTTTTGTAGAATTTGGTTCTTTTTTGTAGAATTTGGTTCTTTTAGCTCTACTTTCTTGCATGCGGCGCGCCGCAGGCGGCGACTGCTACAGGCACCCACACTTCCACGTGGCATATCTTCCCGGGACCTAATTTTACAAAAAACTCGCCAACTACAAAAAGGAAGCTTAAGAATAGAGCTTCATATTTTTAGTTGATCTGTCAAGGAGCAAGTCTTCGCCTCAACTTTTCCGATCTAACTGATAAGCGCCTCTATAAAAGAGTGCTGCCAGTTAATTTCGGGGCTCTTTCTTTTATCATTTTCTCTTTAACATTTGTTTCTTGATGTTGATGTAATGCCTTTCCAAGAGGAAGGAGTACAGTAAAGTAATTGTTAGTAAGTGTTAAGTACATTATCATGAAACCGCTACGCCATACTCTCCTATGCTAATCAGGAGTTACAGTTAGTTGATTACATGGTTTTGGCTATCCACAAGGATAAGGAACCGCCAATAATCATTTGTAATTACATACCACTTTTTTGTGCAGTTCTAGCCTGAAGAGATATGCTACGTGGAAGTGTCTCTCCTTTGTCGCATGCGGCGCGCCTCCAACGGCGACGCTCAGAGGCGCCCGCACTTCCGCGTGGCATATCTCCTCAGGATAGGATTGCATAAAAAAGTGATCAACAACAAAAAGAAAGCTCTACTTGTGTTCCATAAGCCCTGAAATTTTCAAGAAAATCGAGAAATTTCTAGATAGATCTTCAGTCTTTTCAAAATAGCTTACCTTCGGCGCGATCCTTATAATCTTGGATTTCGGCTCAAAATTCGTGAACAACGATCCCAAAAACAGAATGGGAATGTGAATGAAACTAGTGAGAATCGTTTGAGAATGTGTGAAAATGATGGGAAGAAAGAAGAATGTAGACATGAGAAGAGTGATGGAGTAGAGAAGGGAACCGTATAGAATGAAGAGAAGGGAGTGTCGGAAAGAGGACATTCGATGGCGGGCGCAGACGATTAGGGAAGACAGTTTGAGCAGCTTCGAATGATCCATACGAAAATCAGTTGCCAATGCGATCAGCTCACTTGAGAAGTGCATCACATTACTCCTCTCATCCACCACGTCTCCGTCTTTCTCCAGAAGTCGACAAGCCGCTTCTTCCACATCATCCACGCATACAGAGATGTTGGCTTTTGAATAGAGCATTGTGTTGCTTGGATTTCTACAGCTTCCCACTACCATCACTACTTCTCCATTCTCCTGCATAATCTGAACCATCTCTTCTACTGCTGGAGTCCTCGAGTCCGTAAAGAGTCCAACTAACAATGGAACATTATCAACCTCTTCCAAATGAGGTCGTACATTTTGTATGCCTGTCGGAAGACGAGCGATATTTGGGATCGGCGCCATTTTAGCAGATAGCATGCTCATTTTACGGAGTGATGGGGATCCACGAACCAGCGATTCACAGTCAAGCGCATCTAGGTTGGACTCGCTCCTGGAAGATAAAATTTGCTACCGCGTAACTCAGAAAGACTTCTTTTGAAACTTACAACGCGACTCTCTTCCAAAACTTGGGCTTTGCTGGCTTCTGCTTCACAAACTGTTCATGTGCAACATCCGTCTTTTTTGCCGGTACCACCGTATCATCCTCAGCCAACGAAATATGGCAATTCCACCCGGCTTCAATTCCTAACTTTTCCGCGAAGACCCTGCTTCGAAGTTCGTTTTCCTTCGAAAAGTAAACGGGGCGCACACAAATCTGATCGAGTTTTTCTATAACTGTCACAGCGTCTGGAAGTGGTTCATAGTGAAGAACAACCAATCCACAGAGGATTTGTCCAGTGAAGTATTGATCGATGGCCATCTCGGCCGTTCGAATCGTTTTTGTGTAGTCCGCTTCGTCCAATGATTCTATAAAAAATTCAATGGGTTATTGTAATCTAGACTCTCTGGAATACCATTGCTTTGACTCCTCGGGAGCGTTGTCTCAATTTTCGGAGGCTCATGGTTCAAGGGAACTTCCACAAACTTTCCGTCCAATGAACTCGCCAACTTTGGAAAACACGGGCGGTACGAAACGGCCAAACAGTGTCCGGTCATTGAATGTCTCAAATAGAAATCCTTCACTGAAGACTTTAATCGTTTTGACATTGGAATCACATCACATCCATTCCAGATGTGAGTGCAGGCCTGAAAAATTAACGATTTGAATTGAATTGAACCTGTCGGATTACGCCCCTCCCGGGCTTAACTTCCTGGCCTACGGTCACAGTTCCCGTAATCTCATGCAGACGTTTCGGCACATTTTCTCGAATATTTTTCTCAAGGGCTCCAGAAGACTTCAAAATCACAATTTCGAAAAATGAAAAGTTCGAGCATCTATTTAGACACATTTCTGATCTATTTGTCTGGGTTTCAGATCAATAGGTTAACTTTGAGTGGGTGATAAGGCGCGCGACATACATACCAACATACGGAACTTGGTGAATGTTATTAGTAATGATATTTCAGCCTTTTTCGGAGCACAAGTTTGTAAATAAGGAGGTCTGCAGCTGCACCTAAATGATAAGGTAGTGTGAGAACAATTCTCACATAACAAAAACGTAATTTATCATTAGGGCGCATTTGCATTTTGCCTAGTTCACTCACATCCACAACAATATTAGCAGTTCCCTGGCAGGCCAAATGACTGTGAAGGGTTTTCGCATCGTCGTGAATCGTACAAAACGCCATTTCAATTGGGGTTCGATGTTTGGTAAGGCCTGGTAGAGGGGCTTCTCCTGGTTGCTTTTTGTAGAATCCCAATATTTTCGGAGGTCCTTGGAACTTCTCCAAACTTTTTGGAGTGAATCCTAGCAGGTAGGGAAGTTGACACATGCATCGTCGGTTGGCAGTGGCAATTGTTCTGGGGACCTGGAATTTTTGAATGTTTTAATTTTTGTTAAAATTGATTAATTAAATTGTAGACCAAAAATTAGGGCGTCGCACCGCTGAGCCGCCGGCACTTTACAGACTTCGCTATCAACTTTGCGTCAATTTATCTCGGTTCGTGTCAATGATATCAAAAATTGGTCAACTCATAAAATGTTTATTATAATATCAGAAACATTTTATCAGTTGACATCCTTTTCACATCTTTGACAGGAACAGAGATAAATTAGCTGAAAGTTGACGGTTACCCAATCTTCAAACTAATCAAGTCCAGTGGAGCGCGTTTACCTTCCGGGTCTTTTGATAATTCTCCGAGGGACCGAGATAAATTGGGTCAGTTAGGCCGGCCCATTCTATAAGAGGCAAACTACAAACGCGCTCCATTGCTAAATAAACACACCAACCTTCGTGGCGACCACCGCCAAATGATCCAAAAATCTTCTGAACGGATCCGATTGTTGGCAAGAATTCAGGAGCAAATTGTATGCCAATGGAAGTAAGTTCGGAAGATATCTCTGCCAATTTGGATCGTCCATTGATAGATTCCATCTGTTGATTGCAAATCCTTTGGGACTTATCACTGGCTCTTGATCAGAAGACAGATTCATCACTTCCAGATGGATTCCCAAGCAGCCGGATTCGTCTGGAATTTTATTTTCAGAATTCGAACAAAAAAAAGCATGACCTACCAGCTTGATTCGTGGCAAACACCACCTTCTCCATAGATGGATGAACACAAGAGAGGATCCCTTTTTTATCGATAAAACTGGTTCCAGTGATACTCGAGAATATGCTGATCAGATCTTTACACGACTCGAAATCCTTTGATAATCCCAAATATCTAGCCACCTCTCTGTTATTCATAAATTTCACAAAATGTAAAAGTAAAGGAAGTTGAAGAATGAGAAGTGGAAGTACTGTAAGACTAGGAACAGCGAAGACGAACCTGAAAAAGTATCGATGGAGCGAATTTGCATTGCTTCTTACCTAGTTCCAAAAAGTGTCTCGTCATCCGAGTAGCAAAATCTAACGATGGTTCCAAGAATGGAAAGTACTAGAGCGATTGGGATGACGTAGTGCTCGAAGACCTTATGAATCATAAATTGTAGTTGATAATCGAATTGTAATGGAGTGTCTTCTGCGGAGAGAGCACTTTCCAGATGGTTTTTGATTGGGTAGCAGGTGACACGAGCCTAGAACTTTGGTTTTGAATTTAGAAAATTAGAAAAAAACCTTACATAAACTGGCTCCAATGGATGAATGAATCCAGATCGTTTATCAGTTTTGATATCCCATTTGATTCGATCTCCTTCTGCCAAAACTCGTCCGTCGAAAGTTTCACAGTTACATGGAGCAACCTAGAAAAAAAATAAAATTTTGAAATTATAGATGAAAGTCAATTTTCCAAGGGGTGCCGTTGGTCCGTCGAAAGTCCGTCGACGGCCCGTCGGTTCTCCGTAGCTGTCATTTAGCAGTTTTTTGGCTGTTTTTACTAGTTTTTAAGTTTTTTTTTTCACTTGTGTTTAGGAATAAAACTTGCGGAACAATCATTGGTAGTGCCGCTAAGCTTCATGGTCGCAGGCCGTGCAGGCCAGAACCCTTAGCTTTGACCCGATTTTTCTCAATTCCTGTGAAAGATATCAAAAAATGCTCCCTCTAATCAAGTCCAATAGGGCGCGTTTACCTGTCCGGGTCTCAAAACAATCACATCTCCAATAACCAAGAGAATCCGTGGCACCTCGACAATGAAACCATCCCGAAAGCACGCCTGACAAACTGAAATGTCTTCTGTCACAGCTTCCAAAGACTTTTGCGGATATCGAAAATCCTTGGGTTTCGATTTTTCTAATTCCAAAATCGCCTCAAACGCTTTTCGATACTTTTGTTGAAACGCTGTGGACCGGATCCGATTTTGCCAAACTTCGAGAAGAATTGTGTAAAGGAGAAGGAGAGCATAGACGGCAGCAGATGAGAAGGTGATGCGGTTTTCTCTAGAAAGGTTCGAAACTACAGTAACCCTCAAAAAGTGAGGGATAGTCTTACATATCGACGGAGCCAATGATTAGAAAAATCAGCGAAATTCTAATGAACAGAAATGTTCGAGAGCAAAAGTAATGGGAGAATGTGCTGACCTTATTGGGTAGATGAGCATCCGGTTTGAGTTTGCTGAAAAAAAATTACAGTATGCCAATGCGCCCTAATGCAAATCCACAATGCAACATTTCGTTAGAGCAAACTTGTAATAACAAAATCACAACAAACGCACTTGACAACATGAACACTATACCATTCGGCGATTGAAGATTTGGCCTCATGAATCAGACGATCAAATGCCACGTCACTGGATAATCCCAGATCTGGATCGACCTCTTTTTTCATGATTTTGGTTTTGGAGGTGGATTTTCAGATTCTGGGTTTCATGATCTGGAAAAAATAAACAATTTGATAAACTCAAAAAATGTTTAAAATGTTGAAAAGTTCCAAAAATTCGAAAACCCAAAAAAGGTCAAAAAGATCTATCAGTTCCAGTTTTGAAGGATTTTCAAATTTTGGGTTTCATGATGCGGAAAAAATATTTTAGAACATTTTGAAAAATTCGAAAAATTCGAAAAATTCAAGAATTCAAAAAAAAATAGAAGAAATTCCAAAATTCCAACATTCCAAAATTCCGAAATTCTGGTGATCTACCAATTTCAGTTTTGGAGGGGAATTTTCGAAAAATTCCAGATTTTTTGTGAAAAAAAATACTAAGAAATCTGAGTTCCTGAAATTATTTAAAAATCAAAAATTGAAAATATCGAACGTTTTGAGAACTATTGGAATTCTGGGTTTCATGATCTAAAATTTTTCTTTTAATTCAAAAAAACTTTGAAATTCTAAAAATTCTGGGAAACGAAAAGCTTCAGTTTTGGTGGAAAATAAAAGAGTGGGAAATAAAAAGTAAGAATTTCAAATTCCTGAAACTATTTATATTTAATTTTTTGATTAAAAAATCGAAAAAAGCAAAATTGGAAAAAAAAACGTTTTGTCTTTTTTGAACACTCCTCAAAAATTACAGTTTTTTTTTCCAACAAAGAATAATTTGTAGAAAAAAACATTTAGAAAAAATTGGAATTTCTAGAAAAAAATTCCCATAGCTCTTCTTGAAAAAAAAATGACCAAAAGACCCGGGGAAAAATAAGAAAGAGAGCAAAAAGAACTCTGCGTCTCTTCTATTGCTCCCTCTCTCTCATTCAGCTGTTACGTCAATGTGCATTCATCTAGATGTCTGCGTCTCTCCGCCACCGTATGATTAGAGATGGAAAAAGGGAGCACGAGGGAGAGAGAACGAGATAGTGTGTGAAGTGAAGAGAGTGTTAGACAATGAGAAATATATTGGATTGGAGGGGAAAGAAGAAGAAGACCAGGGCTCGTATACGTTCACTTATATACACTTTTTGGAGCTCATCCCCCCGAAATGTTTTTTTTATTGTTTGTTTTGATTGGATTTTTCGAGAAATGGCTTGGAAATTGGAATTTCAGACAAATTCAAAGTTTCCAGAACGATTCGTTGCCTAGGACTTAAAAAATGTTTGTTCTAAAACTTTGAAAAATCAAAGTTTTGAAAAGTTTCATTTTCCTTTTCATCTTTCTTCCCGGAATTTAAGATGTTGGAAATTTCCCTGAATTTTCAAAATTTGAAAAATTCTGATTCCTGAAACTTTTTTGTCTTTTTTGAATTTTTTTTCTAAATTTCCAGTTTCCAGATTTTTCTAAAACTTGTAAAAAAATATTGAAAAAGACACTGGAATTTCGAAAGTACAAAAAAAATTTTTCTGAAAAATTTGAAACTTTAATTGGTATTTTTAAACTTTTCCAAATTTCAAAAATTCGTTTTTTAGAACTCTCTAATTCCTTTTTAATCGGAAAAATTCGAATTTTCCGGAGTTTAAGATTTTTGAATTTCGCTCAATTTGCAAATTTTCAAACTTTTGATTTTCGAGATTTTTTGTCTTTTTTGAATTTAAAAAAAATTTCCAATTTCTAGATTTTTTTGAAATTCAAAATATTGGTTCTAAAAAATCTGGAATTTTGAAAGTTCCATTAAGTTTAAAAATTTAAAAATTTCCAATTTCAAAAATTCGTTATTTCCAGAATTCTCTCTTTTTTATCTAAAAACTTACAAAAGTTTGATTTTTGAGACTTTTTCCACTTTCTAGAACTTCGTGAGCATTTTGTATTTTTTCAACCTTTTGTCTGAAATTTCTGAAACTTCGAAAGTTAAAAAAAAAATACAAATTTCCAGAAAAACCATGTCATATTTCCTTCATCAAAGTGAGTGGAATGACTTAATCGAGCGGCATGTGTAAGTTTTTCAAAATTCAAAATTTCAACAAATCTAAATTTGCTCCATTCCAGATTCGAACCAGTCAACGATGTAACCCCCGAAATGCTCAGTGAGCTGAACGAGAAACGCCATTTTTTCGTTCAAACCGATAGAAAATACGTTGGTCTGCCGTTTGATAAACATCAGTGGTCCCGAGCAGACAGTAAGTTCGCTCTATTGGTAACTAATTCAGATTCCTTTGGTTTCCAGGACCACCTTTGCCACGTCATCGACCGCATTACAAGAAAGTGGTGATTCAAGGATGCCCAACTCATGCCATTCGATGTACTAGTATTCATAACAAGGAATTCAAAAAAGAGGTTAGTAGTGCGAATGCGCTCTATTGAGAATTTAGAAATGCTTGCAGGTTCTCCATCTTGAGCACGCCTCCTATTTTCATTATTTTCTAACAGGAGCTGGAGTTTACTCGGAACCAGATGAGAATGAAGTCAAGAAGCCCAGAATTTCAGGTTTGAATGTCCCCGCAGAAAAATGAAAATTCGAGAATATTCCAGAAATCAAATCCAGTCGAGTTCGAGAGATCATCAAAGAGACGAATGGGTCGTCAGCTCAAGTGTTTCAAATTGCACAAGATGAGGGAATGGAGGTTTCCAGAAAACAGGTTTGTTCCGTGGAGCGAGATTGCAATTTATGTAGAGTTTCAGTGTCAAAATCAAGTTAGAACGGTCCGAGAACACTCTGGAGAGGCTTCGATTAGAGATAAGATTGTGAGGAAGAGGAAACGAGAAGTGACAGTGGAGCAGTTGAATTTGTTGAAGAGAATATTTCCAGATGACGTCACCGTTTATACAGGTAGGCTTCTTTTTTAGAAATCGATTTTAGAAGCTTCGAAAAGTACCGTAAAACCTGTAATAAAAGGTTCTTTTAACTTTGAGCCAATTTTTTCATTTCCTGTACAAGATATCAAAAAGTTGTCAACTGGCAAAAAATCAATTATAATACGACAAATATTATCCCAAGAACGTTTTTCGATTGTCAGGCCTTAGGAGCGGCGTTATTAAGAGACCCAGGTAGTCAGACACCCTCGCTCTCTGCTGTCTCTAGCTATATCTTGGCTGTTAATGAAGCAAGTCTAAAAACCGTGCCTGTGGGACCATTGAGAGCCAAGATATGACCATTTGAAGACCTGAAGATAAGAGACACAGACAACAAGACTCTCTATCTGTCTGCGTCTCTTCAAAACTTTAAAGCGATGTATCTCGGCTACCATTGGTCCAATATGACTGGCTTTTTGTCAGAAATATGCGAAAATGTTTTCCAAATCTATGGATATTACATTTTTTCATAGTTTTCAAAAAATTAACAAAAAAAACTATTTTTGAGAATTTTAAAATTCTGGAAAGCTTTATAAATGCGTCTTACAGAAGTCGAGAAAAACTAAGAATCAGATAGATCAATTTTCTAGGACCATTATCAGCCGAGATATGAGCATGTGAAGTTTTGAAGGCGCGAGACGCAGACAACGAGACTCTCTAACTGTCTGCGTCTCTTCACACAAAACTTCAAATGATCATATCTCGGCTCTTAATGGTCCTAGAAAACTGTTTTTGGACTAAAATATAGGATTTTTAATGAGCTATCCTTTCCAAAAAGATTCACGTTCCTAGCCGAGACAGCTGGAGAGACGCAGACAACGAGACACTCTAACTGTCTGCGTCTCTCCAAAACTTTGTAGCGCTGTATCTCGGCGCCCAGTAGTTCAGTTTGACTGGGTACTCGTTAGAATTACGTGAAATGATTTTTGAACCTAATGATATCAAATTTTTCATGATTTTGAAAATTTTAAAATATCAGAACACTTTATAAATACAGAAGTTGAGACAAACTTAAAATGAAAAAAGGTACTTTTATTGTTAGTAAGATTATTGAAAATTCAAAATCCAATATTTTAGTCCAAAAATCACTTTTCTTGTTCATCTAGAAGCCGAGATATAGCATTTTAAGTTTTGAAGGCGAGAGACGCAGACAACGTAACTCTCTAACTGTCTGCGCCTCTCCAAAACTTCAAAGTTCTGTATCTCGGCGCCCAGTGGTTCCATTTAACTGGTTTTTTTGTTAGAAATTTGTGAAATTGTTTGCTGAACCCAATTTTTCAATTTTGAGAAGTTTGAAAAATGAATTTTTTGGTTTTGGAGAATTTTTAAATTTGGGGCCCTTCTATTATGGTACTCAAAAAAGGAGAATCTGAATTTACATATTTCCAGACGATCAAAACATCACACACTATCAAGTGAAACTCTTCACAACTGGAAAAATCGATAACAACGCTCAAACGCTACAAGACACTGCTCAACCGGACTCCGATACCGATCACTTTGATTTGGTGGAAGAGGAATTCACTTACGATGAGCCGGACCGTGAAATCAAACAAGAGGTTTCGGATCCGGATGACCAATTGTTGCTCTATCCAAAATATGAATATAGTCTTTAGAAGTTTCAAAATGTATCCTTCGATTTCCCTGTATCTCATTATCCACCCCATTTGATCTTTCTCTTCTCACAGCTCAATAATTTGAAAATATTTTTTTGTGATCTCAAAGAAAATTCAAATTGTCATTCATAAATCAAAATGTTCAAATTGTCATAAAAATTATAAAAATAAAATCAAATAATTCAAATATTAATCTCTCCAGCGTTTCCAGCTTTTCCAGACGATGAGGAAGAGGAGGTAGTTGACTTAGCACTTCCAGCACTTCCAGCCTTTCCAGCTCCCAACGGAATATGTTCTACTTCTTTTCTCGCTGAGAGGGTTCTTGGCGCTTGTTGAGGCACAGATTGGGTTTTGTAATTTTTATCGATTTTCTTAAAATCATCTTCCAATTGAATCTCGTCTCCACGATCGTCAATCGACTTCTTCCACATATCCTCCACTTCTTTATTCGTCCATTTTTTCTTGCTTTGCGAGTCTTCGGCAGTTTTTTTGATCCTGAAAAATGTTTCTTTTTGAAAATCTGTTTTTCTGAATTTCCGGCATTTAAAAATTTTCAAAAATCAAATTTCAGAATTGTATCAAGTTTGATATAGTTGGGTTTGGCAACTTTTTTACCCGTATTTCTAACAAAAAAAACCAGTCAAATCGTATCACTGGGGGCCGAGATAAATCATTTCAAAGTTGTGAAGAGACGCAGACAGTTAGAGTGCCTCGTTGTCTGCGTCTCTCCAGCTGTCTCGGCTGGCAAAAAAAGCTAGAAACTTGGTTTTTTTTTGGAACGAATAGCTCAATGAAAATCCTATATTTTAGTCTAAAAATCAATTTTCTAGGATTATTAAGAGCCAAGATATGGTCACTTGAAGTTTTGAGTGGAGAGACGCAGACAGTCAGAGTGTCTCGTTGTCTGCGTCTCGCGCTTTCAAAACTTTATATACCCATATTTCGATTCCCAGAAAGCCTAGAAAATTGATTTTTGGACTAAAATATAGGATTTTTAATTTCAAATAATCTCACTAACAATATAAACACCTAGGCTTTTTTGGAATTCTAAAAAATCTTACATAGTCTCCTCTTTCGCTGAGTTCTGACCTCCATAGTTGTAATTGCTGCTCCAGTCACTAAAAAATAATATTTTCTTTTCAAAAATAGCCTCAACACCCTCACTTATTATTTCCCCATCCATTATTATTTTGTCCTCCATTATTATTATTGTTACTGTTTCCATTTCCCCATGATCCACCACTGGCTCCATTATTGTTATTCCAGTTGGATCCACCGCCGCCTTGAATCTGTTTCGGGCTGCAAACAAATTCTCAGTGGAGCGCGTTTACAAATCACACCACACTTATCCGAGTAGACTGGATTTCCGCCAACGTTACATCTATCATAACTGCAGCAACACAAACTGACGGGTACCATTTGGAATGTTGTGAAAATGCAAGTGTCTTTGGCTAACTGAAAAAAGCACATGTAAGATTTTTTAGATTTTTTAGAAATCGACATGTAAGATTTTTTAGAAAAGCATCTTTGCTTTAAACTCGAAATCCTAATTTTGAAAGCGAGAGACACAGAAAACGAGACTCTCTAACTGTCGGCGACATTCCACTCAAAACTTCAAATGATCATATCACGACCAGGCTTGGTCGGAGAAAAGTTTTCGGATAATTGGATATCCAAAATTTTTTCCAGATAATTTTTTCGGAGAATCGGATATCCGACTTTGTCTCCGACTTATTTCGGATAAAATTTTTTTGGCCTTCAATTGAGGCGAGCGACTTAAAAACCCAATTTTTTGATGAACAGAAGCTTCAATAGCAAGAAAGGAGTGTAAAAATGATATCTGCAAGACAGCAGGATGCAATTTTCGGTTTAATTGATTGCTCATTTTTCGGATATTTTTTGTCTCTGTCGGAGAAATTATCCGAAATTATCCGAGTTTATCCGGAAAAAAACCCCGGAGAATTCTCCGTCGGATAATTAATTCGAAATTATCCGAAAAACTCGGATAATCGGATATCCGATTATCCGACTCCGACCAAGCCTGATCTCGACTCATAATGGTCCTATAAAACTGATTTTTGGACTGAAATATAGGATTTTCAAGGAGCTATCCTTTCCAAAAAGAACCAAGTTTTCAGCTCTTTTCCCAGCCGAGACAACTGGAGAGATGCAGACAACGAGACTCTCTAACTGTCTGCGTCTTTCCAAAACTTCAAAGCGCTGTATCTCGGCGTCCAGTGGTCCAATTTGACGGGTTTTTTTGTTAGAAATTTGTGAAATTATTTGCCAAATCCAATAATACCAAAATTTCATAATTTTGAAAAAAATCTTCTACTACGAAGTGAAAAAAACTTCACAACGCTCAAACTCCACAAGACACTGCTCAACCGGTCTTAGATACCGATCACTTTGATTTGGTGGAAGTAATTATTTTTGAATTTCCCGCCAGATTGATTGCTCACCATACATCTCCATCTGGAACATCCAGCCTTGACCATGTTTAACATAACATAGGCAGTTGTCGACATATTATAACAGTACGAAGAGTCTGGACATTCCTCAGTTGTCTCTCCAACACTTTGCATTGCCAACATTTTACTTCCCTGGAATCAGAGTTATCCATAGAGCGCGTTTGTCATTACTTACATTGTAACAAGTCAGTGTATAGACTGTTCCCAACGCCAAACAGGCTAGAATCAATAGTTTTATAATCATTCTTCACTTAACTGAGAATTGGGAAGAAAATAGAAAAGAATGAGAAGAGCTACTCGGGACCCTTTTGACAGCAACTGTTGTTTTCCAGGGTATGAGAGATAAATAGAAAAAGAGGGTTTAGAGAAACAGAGACAAGAGTTCAAAACTTGTTTTCATGATCATGTTGGTGATTCATCTGAAACTTTTCAAATGACATCATATGAAATACACGTGGAACAGCATTCTAAAGTGTTCAGTTTTCAGATTGTGAAGTTTGTGTGAAGTCTAAAATTCTGAAATTCTGAAAAACCAAAAAATCGGAAATCCTGAAGTTTTGAAAGTCTGAGATTATGACATTTCTAAATTACGAATTTCTGAATATCTAAACTTCTGTAATTTCAAAAGTTTAAATATCGGAAGTATCGAATTCTAAAATTCTGAAAGTCTGAATATCTGAAATTTCGTAAATTTGGAATTTTGAAATTCAAAAATTCATACAATTGATATTTAAAAAAAATCATTTTCACGATCTTCAAAGGAGAGGGGCAAGAAATACGCTGAAAATGGTCCGTGTTCTAGAATAGTCCATCGTGTGGACTCGAACCCGGGTCGTCAGATTGGTAGTGGGGAATGTGGAAAATCTTACTGAGCCATTCGAACATTTTTTGTAAAACCGCTCAAAAATTCCCTTTTTCAAGGGTTCTGAGAGACAGGAAAGTTTAAGATTTTGATTTCACTTAAAAATTATCTTCACACGTTCGAAGCTTCACATGTTCACATAGAAACCGTCGATTTTGAGCCTTTATATCTGGATTCCGATAAGAGATATCAAGAAACTAATAAAATATTGCTGATATTATGTCACCCGGATCCAGGTCGCCCGGATCTAGGTCGCCCGGACCTAGGTCGCCCGGATCCAGGTAACCCGGATCCCGGGACCCAGCGACCCAGGGATCCAGGTCGCCCGGATTCAGGTAACCCGGATCCAGGGACCCAGCGACCCAGGGATCCAGGTCACCCTGATCCAGGTCACCCGGATCCAGGTCACCCGGATCCAGGTCACCCGAATCCAGGTCACCCGGAGCCTGGTCACCCGGATCCAGGTCACCCAGCGACCCAGGTCTCCCGGATCCAGGTCACCCGGATCCAGGCCACCCGGATCCAGCGACCCACGAACCCCGGGACCCGAGAATCCAAGGATCTAGGACCCTCGCCGGGTCACCTTCTCTGGAGTTCAGAGAAGGTTGAACTGATTTGTTTCTCCACTTTCCTCTTCCTTTATAGCAATCCTCCTGAGGCCAATATA